CCCCCCCCCCCCCCCCTTTCGTCCACCGTGCCACCATGTCCCCCTGCCGTCCATTGCTGTCTTGCCGGACCTGTCTTTTTCCCCATGTCGAAGGCCCCCCCCGGCAAGTAGTTCGTGGCCATATCGGACTACTCTTGGAAAGTAGCTCGCTCTTGATGAGCGGTTTGTCACACCGGATGCACCAGTCTGCACGCACCCGCGTGTCGGTCGTGGTGGCGAGCGGGAAAGGGGGACGGGTTTCGCTCCTGGCAGGCGTTCCTCAAGCGTGAGGGAGGTGCCGGTTGGTGGTGGACAGCGCCGAGAGAGCGAGAGCTGTGGCTTGTTTCGGTTTCCTTGGAGGCGATATCTTTTTCGCCAGAGTGGGCTAGCGGGCCGGCTTGCTAGGAGGGTTAGCGCGCCGGTGTCGGTGTTGAGAATTGGGGGAAGGGGGAGCATCCTAGACGTTAGGTTGATTGAGCTGTTCAGGCGAGGACATCGAAGCCGCACCCTGGATTTGCTGGCGCGTGATGGAGATGCTGGAGGGAGTTGGGGTAGACCTTGGGCAATAAGACAAAAGCCTGGTTTTCCACACGTCGACCATCGGTTACGATGATATTCTAGGATGCGTTTGAACGGCGCTGTTCCCCTCGATGCCACCAAGCATTATTATGGACTTTTCTAGTGTTTGTCATCAAGTCCAGGAGGGACACTCGTTTCAAATCATTGTTCGCAACGTTCGCCCCAGTTGTTGTGGCGCTACATACCTCCCGGGGGAGGGATTGACGCCGACATAAGGTAGGCGTTGCTGGGGGGGGGGGGGGTTACGGGAGGCGCGTGAAAGGCATGATCACATGTCGCGTTTCGAGCTCCCAAGGAGGAGCGAAATTCCCGGAAAATTCCCCCCGTGTTGACATCATACAACCGAGCTTTGTAGGCCAACTTTTTTGTCGCTTGTGGCCACCGTGGCGGCGACAAAGATGTTGTGTTCCTTTTGCTAGATGGGCACCGTGTTGTGTGTTCGGATGATCACAAGCCTGTTTTTGCGTCGACCTCTCTGCTGTTCGGCGAAGGTCTGCTTCTTTCCGGGCCGGGCTTGTTCGGTGCCGATGATCATCCCCAGCTGTGCGGGAGGTATAGGGACGGACAACAACTAAAATATCTACATCTTCTTGTCTCCGGTTTTGGTGCCAGAAGCCCAATTCGAGTGCAGCACCAGAAACCCGCTGCTCCTCACCATACTGGCTTTACGAGACGGCAGCTCACAACTCCTCCTTTTGTTGCGGATGGGTTCAGCGTTGTTCCTTGTGGTCGACGGCTCACGGAATGGGCCGCGCTCTTTCGGCTCCCCCAAGACCTTGGAGTCTGAGCAAAAATAATTTCACGTGGAAGCTTGCTTGAGTTCGCCACGAAGTTGTTGTCGCGACAATCACGCTCCCATCTCCTTTAGTTCTCAGCCCGCCGGGACACTTGCTGTAGCGCGTGGTCCTGTTAGAGAGGGAGACGAACCGTTTGGGGTGGCAGCGGGCGCGTCTCCTTTTTTTCGACGCCTCAGGGGATTGTCGGTCGCGTGGACGAAAGCGGTTCGGGGGACCTCTGCCGTCTTGAAGTCACCGAGATGTTCAGCCAGTACGAGGGCCGTCGTCTCCTCAGACCCGGGATTCAATCACTCGAGATCAGTTCTTCGTCCTCCTCGTCCTCGTCCTCCTCTCATCCTCTTCGTGATGCAGCAGTTAGTTGGATTGGTGCCCAGGCTTCCGTACCGCTTACCGCGGTAGGTGTCATGACCCTGTCCACGAAGGGGCTGCAACAGCCCCATCGAGAGATGGATCCGTCATATCTACTCGAAAGAGGGTACTCACGCAAGAAGTCAAAAATAGCACAAGGACCCACCCGCATGGCACTCGGCGACGACTAATGTTAGCAGGAAGCCAAGACAAATGGCCACTGCGGTCTTAGCGGCACCTGGTTGCTAATATATAGCAGACCCTGGTGCTCGGCAGTAGGGGGTAGCAGCGGCGCAAGCAACTGACAAAGGAGAGGACCGTGATCATGGGTTGGATGAAGGGGAGTACTGCTATACACAGATGAGCCAACATATACATGAGGTGTGAAAGGCAGGTATGATTCACCAGCGATTCACGCAAAGCGCGTCCCCACCGTAGCAGCAGCGGCGGCGGGAGAAGAAACTACGTCCCGAACAGCAACCAAAATTCTGGTTCCGGCTCGACCAATCACCTGTTCCCCCTCTCCCCTCCCCCCCTACCCCTGTTCACCTCCTTGCCTGTGTGACACGCTCACCAGCTCAACACACCTGCCTGGCCTGGTGCTATCATCGCCAGCTCATTCGTGCGAGAGGTAGCGTCAGCCCTGATAGGCCGTCCCCAGGAGGCTTTCCCTCCTCCGCCGCCGCGTGTGGGTGGTGTTTTCGTCTTGAAAGCGGCGGAGTTTTTCTGACGGGTGTGTGTGTCGGGTGTCCGCATCATTCCATCGTCGTATCATACCGAGAACGGAAACACCATCCTCATCGTTTGAGGAGGCACGGACGGCGGTCTCACAGAGCGGCAGAAGCGATGCTGGGTATGATCCAGTCAGTGTTTGCAAGGACCAGGCATGCTTGTCGGCGAACAGGTGAGAGAGAGAGGGGGGGGGGGGGGNGGGGGGGGGGGGGGGAGCAAGAACTTTACCCTCGGGGTTTGATGAATACTTGGAGCAAGCAGCCGCCTTTGTCCATACCCCAAAAGGGCCAGCGGTTTGTTACCAACCAACAGACGCGCATTTCCACGTACTGTTGGGCGTGACTCCAAACTTAGACATTCTACCTGCAGTTATACGACGGCAGAGAGCAAGCGTTATATTCATACGGGCGAGGGCTCTCTGGGGGCGGAACAGCAACGGGCAAGCGACGGGCCCCTGATGTACCACGATTTATCTTCCTGGACTCATATGGGTGATAAACTCCAGGGATCCCTGGGAAGATGGCCCGTACGTGCTGCCGCGCTTCAACTACAATTTTCATGCGATGTCGCTGCTACAATGCACCGCCGCCGGTGCTGCTCTCTCCGCGGATGCGGCGATCGTCGCTTCGGAGCGTCCGATTGAATTCCGTGAATATATACGCTGCGCATTCGTTCCCCGTACACGCCCCCTACGCTGCTTATTTATTTCCCCAACTGCTGCACGCGAGAAAAAGCATGCGGTCAGGTTTCGAGTCACCTGGTTTGCTCTTTTTGTCTGTCAGCTTGACCAGCAATGTAGACGACAGCAGGGACCCGTAGAAATCTCGTGCTTCCGGCATCATCGTAGATCCCCCCCGCCCCGTGGAAAACGGTCTCTGGGTATTGCTATTGTAGTGGTCCTCTACTGATCGTAACCTAGACACATCCGATGTTCCTCCTACTACACTTTTCTCCCTTAGTCTACACGCACAGCAGCCTGGTGTTGCTTTCCATGAATACCCTGCTATTCGGCGAAAGTGAACGTTCATGATACACCGGACGTTGTTCACGTTAGACAAGGCCAGCAGCAGAAAATACGTCATTGATCAAAAGCTGCGCAGACGCAGCCGAACTGCGACCAATTCTGAACTCACCGAGCTTCTGTGGTAGACGCACCACTGCTCCTTGTTGGAATGATGCGGATATTCCAAACATGAACCCTGCTGCGGCAGACAGCTATTTTCTACTGTCAGATGATGTTGGACATCAGCGAACGAAACTACTGCTGTGAAAGGACAACGAGGAGGCAGTCAGTTGTTAATTGTGGTGCCGGCTTCAGGGCCCTCGTTGTAATGGTCACAGTGGTCATTCTTGCGTTGGAACGCGCGAGAAGGCAATGGAGCATTTGTTGCCGCGACGTTGTTTATAGGCGCCCACCCGTACACATCTAGTTTAGGCCGGATATAGGGTTGTTGGTTCCCGGGTTGTGCTACGAATGGCGGCTATATGGGTTTTTAGTCTAAGGGTTTCACAAACTGCTGCAAGTTCTAGATTTTGAATCCATCGAGGCCGGATCTCACGTGCGAACTCTTACCGTGTATGTCAGAGGCCGTATTTTCGTGTTACGAGAGAATCCGCCCATTTTTGTGTAGAATGATGCATACAACGTACAGCACTCACGTGCACTAAACGCACGTACAGAAAGGGTGTAAGCTGGTGATGAAGTGGATGACAACACCAATGCATACCTGCTACATACCCGTATTCGTGAGTGCCCTTGGAGGGAAGGACTGCTGTTGAACCCTTCTCGAGGCGACACGAAGGAATTGTTTTCTGTGTGGCCCCAGATCGGAGCTCTTCAATAATCATACATCGTGAAACCTTCAAGGATACATTGCTCGAAGCTGCGAGCCACCGCCGCGAATACACGGGGTTGGCGATAAGATCAAACAAATAAGTATGTTTCTCATACCTTTTTTTTTTTTGTCTTCACCTCAAGTGAGCGCTCACGGCACTAGTGCCGTTTACTCCAACCCCTGGTCACACAACACAGAACGGTTTCCCCCTACCCACCCTTCCTGCTGTACTTCGCCTTCGATATATCGTGCGAGAAGAGTGCAGCACTCTCCTCCCTCTCGTGTACACACGAACTAGCGCTTTCCGAACAGGCCAGGAACGGAAGCGAGAGAAAAACTCGCTTTGCAAGACAAGCTCGTTTTCGCCGGGATTCGAACCCCTGACCCTGGCCACGACACCAACTACTGTAGACTACCGGGGCGACCGGTTCGTAGTAATAATGATAAATATACAAGAACGGCTTTCGGAAGAAATAAGAATCGCCGCTCTTGGTTGCATACTCCCTCTGTCCGAAACGTTACGATCGGTAAGGGTTTCCGGATCATTGGGAGTATTAATCATAGCAGTGATTATAAAACAACAAAGACGGTTTTCGGCAGAAATATGAAACGCCGCTTTTGTTGACGAAACTGCCACCTACATGCGGTGACACCCGCAGCAGAGGCGCGCCCTAGGACACGTTGCCGTTTCTTTCGGGGCACAGCAGTAGTACGCAGAATGCCGAAGACGTTCGAGACACGTCACGGCGCACACGTATGTGGTGTGTTCGTTATTGTCCCAACGTCTGATGTTTGTGACATTCGAAGGCTTGGAATCGGGTTCTTTTGTTATTTTGTGGCTTCGCCGTTTCGCGCTCGCTAGAGCTAGCGGCGGTTACTGTCATTCGTTGTCCGTTTAATGCCGGCAACGATGCATTACTGCTGCCGCATGCGAGCCGTGTATCGCACCATGCCGATACGGAACGCACCACGTGTCTGCGTTCGCACTCGCGAACCATACGGGCACATCCCCCACCGGAAGTACTATCTGAAGCCCCCCCCGCGTCGAGTGCTTGCTCGTCAGGTTTGAACAGTCGGTCAGATGGGTGCCAAACGTTGGCTTGGTGATGTTTTTTACGGTGGATATGCATCGATTCTGCATGCTGCGAGCGCTCCTTTCTCACCAAGCCATGGGACGACAAATGCAGTACCGTCATGGCCAACAACGTCAGCAACACGTGGCTTTTTCCAGCTGAGGTTTTCTCTATGCGAGGGGCCAAAAATAACTCTAGACTCCCGCACCCCACAGCCGTGTGCGCTACTGCTGTAGCGACACATGGGACGACGCGCAATCGATGTTCTGAAACGTGTTGAGCTTTCCGACGTGGGTTTTTTGCCAGGTGCTCGCCTCTGCGGCCGCAACAGCGAGTGCGATGATGGCAACGGTGGGTGCTGCTGCTGCGGCGGCGGCGGGAGGCCGGAATCCAACGGCGGTAATAACGGCAACGGCAGCAGCGGCGGCGGCGGCGGCAGCAGCTGCCGTAGTCGTCGCGCCGGTCCTTGCTGCAGCTGGCTGTCGTCCTTGCTCCTGGGCTGGGATTGGCTTCCCATCGCCACTTGTGAGTGAAGGACCCCACGAATTGTTGTTGTTGTTGTTGTTGTGGTCTTCACATTCAGAACCGTTCCGGTCTCCGCTCAGTACTCCTTGTGGTGCCCGCACTTGTCCATCTGACATGATAAATAATATTTTTTGAAGAGGCAAGGAATGTTTTGCATCTTCTTAACTGAAAAACGTACTGTGTACTTCAGGCGGAGAAGTACGATCGGTGGTAAAAAAATGGGCAGCAGAAAGTGCGTTTCGGGGTCATTGGTCGTGGGGGGGGGGGG